TAGCGGTCTACACCAGGGAAATCTACACAGAGCAAAAGATTTTCACCAGGGCTACAGGGTTTAAAGTTGTCACTGAATTCAGCTACCTTTCAGATGCATTGACAGATGATGCACACGTAGGCCAAGAAGAAGAGAACCAGATTAGGGAGCTTATCAGGTCCTAGGAGATGGACTAATGATGTGCCATCAGCTTGGTTTTGTGCTCCGGTTCAAGTCAGAGGCCCACAGAGCGAGGTTCTGATCAGTTTCCTACATGGCTCTTGTTCATTTGTTTGACTGTCTATCTATGAAACATCTCCCATGTGCCCAGAATGCTGTGGGGAAGACAGAAAGGTACACACACACACACACACACACACACACACACACACACACACTGCTAGGAGCCTAGAGCTCAGCAAGTTTCTTTACATGCTTTACATATATGAAAGCAGCAATAAAACACAAAACCAAGTGGTGAGGTCATAAGGTCATAAGAGATGGGCCAATTAAATTTTAGGGGAGTTCAGAAGAGGAGAGAACACTATCTGTAGGTACAGTGTGTGAATGTGAGGCCTCTTAGCTATTCTTTGGCCTCCACTCTGACCCTTCTCCATTGAATTCCGCATGTCTTTGCCACTTTATCCTAAAACACCACTTTCAGCATGTCCATCTTTTTCTTAAAACCCTTTAATGATTTTCTATTTCCAACTGAACCAATTTCAAAGTCCCTTTTGGATGCTCTATTATCTTGAGCTCTGCAGATGTGATTTCTTTCTCTTTTTGGGATGGGTTGGTGGCGTGGTGTTTGTAGATTTCCTGCTATAGTTTTGCCTTTCTCATATATTTTGTGATTTTGGCCTGAGTGCCTCTTTCCTTGGGGATGTTGGCTGTGGGCATTTTTTTTTTTTTTTACTGTGTGCTTTGGGGTGTGGGGGCCTGCCCATGGGACGATTTTGTGTTTGTCTTTGTCTGGGGCTTAAGAATTTCTGTACTGAGAGATACTGAATTAGGGTTTTTACCTCAAGAGGCAAAGGATTTTCACATATGGCCTTTGAGCTTTATCCTGAACTGATGAACAAATATTCTGATTTCTGTTTAGGGATAGTCTAAGCTCTATTGGTTCCTGGTTTCACGTAGGGAGCCTGCTCATGCTTGTGAGGCCATGGGACCTCTGACCTTGATTTGGCATTAAACCAACAGACCCTGGGGCTTATGTTTTATTGAAGCCCTGGAGGCTTTATGAAGATAATTCCCTAAATCTGTACCTCTAACCTGACCCCTGACCAAATCCCAGAACTGCAGGCTCCTAGATCCAACTGCCTGCTTGTCATCTTTATTTGGCTATTTTATGGCCATCTCAGATTTAATATGGTTAAGTCAGGACTACTGATTTGTTAATATACATATGTTAAACACACTACCATGGCATACATAGGAATAAACACTTACCGAGTGCCTGTTAGATGCTGTCATTTTAATGGCTGTTATCTCAGTTATGCCGTTATCTATGTATACATTATAGCTTATAGATCTATATACTACATAGCACATGTGTTATGTAGAGCACAGTTATCTCAATGAACTTAGATATACTTTGCTTTATGTCCTCCAACAATCTCAAGATTTACAAAAACGTGCTTTTTAGATAACAGCAGTCCTAACACTAAGTGTTTATTCACGGTTCTGCTTTACTGACGTTGAGAGGTAAGTAAACAGCTTTGCAGCTTTCTCTCTATGCCAGAGGTTTTGAAAGTGTGGTCCACCAATTACATGCATCAGGATCACCCAGAGTTCTTGCTAAAAAGACTGCCTTTTGGACTCTCCCAAGCTAAACTTTTTGGGGATAGGACTCAGAAAAGCATATTTTTAAACAAGTTCTTCAGGTTATTCTTAAGTGCACTGTGGTTTGAGAACCACTGCCCGAACCCCTGTTCTCTTTTGGCAATTCATCTGAAATGTTTATGGAAGAGACTGTTCCAGGGAGCCCAGAAAAGCGGGCGCTGACCCACAGCCATTTCTTTCCACACTGAAATTGCCATGAAAACCAGGGAACCTGGTTTGGCCACACCTAAATGCCCACGAACATCTTGCTGAGCTGTAGTGCTGGACCGTACTTGAACTTTCCAGAACTACAACCGCTATTTAAAATTTTTTTCAGTGCTTTTCATCTTGTTGGTCTAAACATATAAATGTCAGCAGAGGATGATACAGCTTAGATGTCATTAGAGTTTCATGAACTGTCCTGGTTTGCCTGAGACGAAGGGGTTTTTTCGGGATGCATGAGTTTCAGTGCCCAAACCACAAACTAGGATGAGTTAGTCAGCCTAGCCAATGTGTCTTATGAGTTGAAACTAAATGCATCAGGAAAGAATATTGGAAATCGACATGGGTTATGAAATAAGGAAGACTAATGTGGGATGAAATGTATTTGGGGATTAGTCAGATTTGTGGTGCAGGACTGAAGAGTTGATGACATTGAAGAGTGGGCAGTTCCTCTCACCCTTTAATAAAGGCCTTGTATCCAGCCTGTTGCATGGGGTGGCTGCTCGTCTTCCAATTCATGTTGTGTTTGACAGCAGTGGCGGAACATAACTGGAGTGAGGAAGTTTGTTTCCTAGCTCTACGAGGAGGCTGCCTGTTCTGACCCAACCAACCATGAGTTGTTTGGTGCCTTCTTGGATGGTCCCAAGTTGGAGTGAGAGCAAGAGTGTACAATCTATTAGCGGTGGGGGACGTGGTGGATGGATGCATTTATTCTTTGTTCAGAAGTCTCTGGTCAGCTCTGGTGGGTGGGTGCTCTCTCTGATGTCTGTTTAGGGATAGTCTGCCGTCCCATTTAGCATCCTCTCCATCAGGGGCAACTTACCTTTAACATGGAAGGCAGTGCCTCGCATCCATGGTACTGCCTGGGACTCCAGAAACCCTCTGTCTCACTCAGCCACAATCCCTGCTGTTTTCCCCCTTTTTATTGAATGTATGGGGTGACAGTTGTTAATGAAATTATATAGGTTTCAGGTGTACAATCGTCTGTATATTGTATTGTGTGTTCACTACCTCAGGTCGTCTCCTTCCATCACCATTTATCCCCCTACACCTTCTTCTACCTCCTCCAACCCCCTTTCTCCTTGCTGGTTTTGACAGCCAGAAATCATGGGGGCTTCTCTTCCTGGCACTGGAACCCTGGGCTGACTTATTTACACTTTGACTCTTATGTGTGAGAGAAATAAACTATTATGATTGAACCACTATTATTTTGACTTCTGTTATAGCAGCTGCATGTTTTATCTAAGTAATGTAGCTCTCTATACTCCAGAGCCCTGCTTCTTTGTAACCCCCCCCGCCAGACATTGAAAAGGACCTCTATCCTCACTGTTAATAGTATCAATGTTTTGAGTCCCCCCGCTTTCCTGATAATGGGAACAGATTGCATTTAGCCTTTACTCTTCCCACTCCCCAGACATAGCTCCTCCATCCAATGAGAAACATGCATGGGTGGGTCAGAGCCAGGAGGGAAATTGTTGCCAGGATAAATCTCCTTATGGGGCTTGAATATGCAACCTTGACCTCATCATCAGCCAAGTCCACCAGGCTATGCCTTTCACTCAGCAGATTCCTCGCCAGATTTGGGTGCTCTGGCGTCCTCTAATCCTATTCCTGTCAGATCAGGGGAGGGCAGCGGAATAAGGTGTCTCTTGGCTGCTTCCAGTAACCAGCTCTTCTTCCCTCGGAGCAGAACTGCCCTTTACAGTCTTAATCTTGTGTGTAGTTGGGCTTTTTTCTTCTTGAAAATGATTTCTTTTAATTTTTTCATGGAAAATGTCAGCAAAGCTTCTCAGAGTAAGACCTGTAAAGTGTGTGTGTGTGTGTGTGTGTGTGTGTGTGTGTGTGTGTGTGTGAGTGAGTGTTTGGGCAGGATGGTAGACAGTGGGTGAAATGTGGAATGAAAGGGGAAATGATTCCCCATTTACTGGGTGGCCTCTTTGCGACAAGTGCTTTATCAGATGTTACATCATTTACTTATGAAGACAATCCTGAGTGGTAGGAATTATCCTCCATATCTTAGACATGCATAAACGGGTACACACATAGGTTGCCAGCCTAAAGTGGCAGTGTCAAACGTCGCTCCTACATTGGCCTTCCATCAACTTTTCCATACAAACTACTCATATCATTTGTCATATCTTTAAACCATAATGGGAAAGGAGAAATTCCATAAATATTTGGCTAATCTGATTATGGAACTGGCTGGAACTGGCCACACTGGTAATACAAGAAAAACAGTTATCTTTGGGGACCTGTGTTATGTAGGTTTTTCCTCCACTCAGAGTTGACTTCTGCCTTCTTGACCTTCCTCATCTGTGTACTGAACAAAAAGAGAACAAGCACATGGCTCTGGTTGTGTTAAAGGACACTGATTCCCAAACTAATGACACTGGTAAAATCTTTTGTTTTAAGCCAGTAACAGTATTTTTCACTTGTTTTCTAATATGTCAATTCTTTCGATATAGTGCAAAATTTGAAGTTAATATTCTAGACTGTTTTTTATCTTCTAAAAAACCTTACTTATATTAGAATTATTTTTTACACAAACTTAAGTTCAACATTTGTCTTTACAGATAAAGAGAATTTCTCTGCCAATTTGCACGTGGGCAAACCCATGGAAAAAGAGAAGTTTCTTTTTTCTTTTAAGTAACATTCATTGCCTACTTAAAAATTAACAACCAATCAAGAATAGCCTTTGAGTCTATTGCCTTCGTATCATTTCCCTGTAATTAAAAATGTATAATATAATTGTGATGAAACTTTATATTTCATGTTACACATACAAATGGGTCTTTTCAGTATATGGGGTTGACTGTCTGCATGCGTGCACACACACAATCATGTACACACATACACATTCAGCTACCCTCCTTCCTAACCACTGTATTGTAATGACGTCTCCCTCCTTTCTTCTTCAGGTTGCAAATTGGCAGTGGGTGAGTGAGGAGAAACACTGCCCCTTTCCCCAGGGGTGAGTGAGGAGAAACACTGCCCCTTTCCCCAGGGCTGACTGCACTTTGCACCAATGTTCTGATGTCCCACGGTGTTCTGATGTCCCAAGGTGTTCTGATGTCCCACGGTGTTCTGTCGTCCCACGGTGTTCTGATGTCCCACGGTGTTCTGATGTCCCAAGGTGAGGTTGAGAAACAGCACCTGGGAGTTTCACAGGGCGCTGCTGCATGATTTTCCCATTGCAGGAAGGGGAGCCTGGCTCTATCCAGGCCTACCTTATCTTGGATTGTGACAGAGCTACTCCCAAAGCCTGCAGTTCTTTCTTCTGGTGTCCTAAAGTACTTCAGGGAACAATTGGATCTTTTTCATTTTGTCTGCCTTATCCATGCAACCCTTCCCTGCTCACGATCAGGACTTCAGAATAGAGCTCTTTGGATAATACAGTAAGTGTTGGGAATAATAACCGACACTATTTTTTTTAAATATTCAGATTTATTGAGGTATAATTTTCATATCATAAAATTCACCCATTTTATATGTAAAGTTTGATTAATTTAGTAAATTTATATAGCGGTGCAAGAATCACTACAATCCAGTTTTAGAACATTTTCATTACCCCCAAGTCTCCTAGTGTCCATTTAATGTCAATCTTCATTCCCATCCCTAGTCCCAGGCAAACATTGATATACTTTCTGTTTCTATAGATTTGCCCTCTTTAGAAATATCATATACAGGAGATCACATAATATTTACTCTTTTGTGTTTGGTTCCTTTAATTTAGCATAATTTTTTGAGGATCATTCATATTGTTGCAAGTAACATTAGTTTATTTCTTTTTATTTCTTTTGTTGTTTGTACTTTTGGTGTCATATCCAAGAAATCATTACCCAAATAAAATGTCAATAAACTTTCCCCCTGTGTTTTCATCTAAGAGTTTTATAGTTTTAGCTCTTTTGCTTAGATCTTTGATCCATTTTGAGTTAATTTTTGTACATAGTGTAAGGTAAGGGTCCAACATCATTCTTTGCATGTGGATATCTAGTTTTCCCAGCATCATTTGTTGAAGACTGTTGAATAGACTTGGCATTCTTGTCAAAAATCCCTTAACCATATATGCTAAGGTTGACTTCTGAGCTACCTATCCTATTCCATTGGTTTATATGTCTGTCTTTATGTCAGTGCCTCACTATTTTGATTAGCATAGCTTTGTACTATGGGTTGAAATCAGGACATATGGAACCTTCAATTATGTTCTTCTTCAAGATTGTTTGGGCTATTCAGGGTTCCCTGAGATTCCATATGAATTTTAGGATGGATTTTTGCATAAATGTTGTTGGGATTTTGGTTGACATTGCACTGAATCTGTAGATCCTTTAAAATTTTTCTTAAATTTATTTATTGATTTGAGAGAAAGAGAGGAAGGGAGAAGAAGAGGGAGAGGGAGAGAGGGAGAGAGGGAGAGAGAGAGAGAGAGAGAGAGAGAGAGAGAGAGAGAGAGAGAGAGAACATTGATTTTTTGTTCCTTGTTAGTTGGTTCTTATATGTGCCCTGACCAGAGATTGAACGTGCAACCTTGGCTTATCGGGATGATGCTCTGCAACTGAACTACCTGGTCAAGGCCTGTAGATCCTTCTGAGTTGCATTGACATCTTACTGATATTGTCTTCTAATCCATCAATAGGGCATGATTTTCCACTTTTGTGTCTCCTTTAATTTCTTTCAGTAATGTTTTGTAGCTTTCAGTGTACAAGTCATTTGCCTCCTTTGTTGAGTTTATTTTTGTCTTTTATTTGTTTTTATGTTATCGTAAATGAAATTTATTTTTTATTTTTTTTATTGTTAGTGTTTAGATATACAACTGATTTTTGCGCTTCTCTCATAACTTTAAGAGACCCACCATCATTTGACATCTAGGAGTTCTTTTGAAAAATTTGACCCATTCTGAGTCCTATTTCTTTATATGCACTGGCTCCCTTCACCTATTTCTTTGACCCATGGGATTTTTATGGGTCACCTCTTTACCTTTGATGTTCTGAAATTTCACAATGATGTTCCTTGATGTGGATTTTTAAAATTCACTATGCTAACCACTTGGAATATCCTCATGTCCTTTAGTTCTGGGAAACTTATTTAATTTTCCCATTAGTAATTTCCTTTCCATGAATTTTTCTATTCTGTCTTTATAAAATTCTTATTATTTGGATTTTGGCCCCTTGGGTTCACACCAGATATTCATACTTTTCTACTTGTGTTTTCTAATTTACTGTCATTGTCTTCTAATTTATGGCGATTTCCTTAACTTTTAATTTAAAAATTTTTAATAATGTTATTTTGGTTATCAATTTTAATTTCTAACAGCTTTCTTATTTTCAAGGTGAGCCTTTTAAATAGCATTTTACTTTTGCTTTCTGGCTGGAAAATCATCTTATCTCTTGAGGATATTATTGCTCTGTCTACTTTTCTGGCATTTTTTTCTCATGTGTGTTTTTGAATGTATCCTCTATGAGAAGGATTTCCGCCAGGGTCCGATGATCCTGGGCTCTATCCAGGCATAAGTGGAGGCTGTTTGAGTGGAGGAGCTTCACTGGGAGGGGTACCGATGTGGCTGCCCATGGCCCTTTTCATGGCATCCCTCTAGTATCAGGATATGTCGTTTTTTTCTACCAGAGAAGTATCATCCAGTCTCCTGCTTCAGAATTCTGTTGATGGGTGGCAGCATGTACTCGGTTGCTTGCATTCCGGACACAGAGCAGGAAAAGGTGAGGGTCGTATGTCTCACCATGTAAAGAGTAAACTTTCATAGAATTCCCCTATTTTTACTGGTTGTCTAGGTCCTGTCCTTTGACGAACCCAGCTCCCTGAATTCAGAACCTCTTTGGTTAATTTTTTTCCTTGAGTCACAGGGAAGCTAGATGCTTGGCTGCTTGTGTTGGTGACTCCTGGAAAGTCTCTAAAGAAAGACTTTCAATCCTTTCTCTTCTTTTCACCCCAACTCCCCCACCCACAGGTTTGTTGGCTGAAATTTTGTATCCAGGCTTGCCAACGCCACACTGTTTTGAATATGGTGGCTTTGTATTTAGTATCTGGTGACGTAAGTTCCTCCTCACTATTCTGAATTTTCTTAGGTTTTCTGAGACATTTTTTATATGAATCAAAAAGATCACAAAGCATTTCCATAGAATCATACACATATTATTATAATAATTTAATTTAGTTTTCCAAATTATCCTGTTGGGATTCTAACTGAAATCTTATTCATTCTTGTATCTCTAGGGCCTTATGTAGGGCGTGGATCATGTTAGGCTTTCAAAAAACATCTGTTACATGGAAATAAACCTCTGATTCCAATTCCTGTGCTCTTCCTATTACCATGTCCTTTTTGATTTGTGCTCACATCACAGAGCCAGCTGGTAGCAGAACCAGAAGAACTCAGGTGTCATAACTCACCATCCAGTGCTTTTTACCACACGTGCCTGTAAAACAATTCTGAGCAGTTACACACAGTCCAGTGTACAGGCCATGCCCGTGCAAATGGAAGGTCACAGAGCCATGGAAGCCAAAGTGCTTTAAAATCCCAAAGAAATATCTCGCCTGGGCCAACCGGTCTCCATCCCATAACTAGCTTCTGTGCGGGGGAGTGGGATGGGTGTCCTCTAGCCCGGATGGGTATCTTTATAGTGGGGTAGAGCGAATGTTGCCGAGTGTATTTATGTTTTCCCATAGGAGGAGCCATATTTCAATGGCATAAATGTGAGTGCAAAAGTAGGATGGTTTATCTGCCACGTCTGATCCATGTGGAGTTTTAGTAATAAAGTTTATTAGGGCCCCTGATTTAATATGACACATTTCCAGTGCAAATTACTCTGAGATCATCGTGTTCACAAAATATGACAGAAATCTTTTAAGTGTGAGCATAAGTTCTGAATTAATTTAATAACCCAGTCTGGGAAAAGGCATGTGGTTTAAAACATAATATTATGCAATTATGCACTGGGCTCCTACATGTCTCTTTCACCCACCCCCACTTCCCATGGCACCTTTCAAAAGCCCTTCTTCTTATCTCGAGTCCCCTGGCCTCTTCTCAGGGAGGTTTGGAAGAGGATGTACTAGTGTGGCCAAGGCCAGAGGGTCCATCCTTCTGTGCCTGGGGGCCCTTGAGCACAGCTGTTTTTAGTTCTTAATGGTGCCCACTCCAAGGGAATGGACAGGGACTGATGTGAAAATGGTGCTTAGCCTCTATGATACACCTCCTGTTAGTGGTTTGGGAGGTGGCAGGAGAGTGAGCATGACATAACATTGGAGGGCCACGGCTGCAGGAGCACAGACACAACCCCTCCATCGTTCCAGATGGGAAAAGAATGACAGCAGCCAAACACAGGCCCGGGCTCTCAAATGCACATGAAATCACTATGTAAATTGTGAAATGCAAGTCATGGTTCTATTTATCTCCTGGCAGTGTAAAACTAAAACAGAACAACATTTCCATCAAGATAGAGAATAGGAATAAAGAAAAAGGATGATTCCTTTGGCATAACTGACCAATATGACTTTTGGGGTCTATCTTGTGAACAGAACTATGACCATCTTGTCAAAGAAAAAAGTAACCCATATTCCCCACTCCTGCTCAGATTTTATAGGAGCCGGGCTCGGCTTCCTGCTCACTCACTCAGTCATTTCCTAGGCAATCCTGTGCTTTTCCTGGGCCTTATGCTCCCCTTGTCCTGTTTGAGTAGAATGGGACCCTGGGCCAGAGGAAGTCCGAGTCCTCCAAAGACATGCTCTGGTGCGGCCTTCTGGTGTGTTTCCTATTTCAGCATCCAAGCCGAGAAGGGAAGGGCCCCCTGAGTGCCCAGGGATCAGACCTTTTTCCTGACTGTGGTGCTTCTGACACTAGAACAGGAATGTGCTGCAAGTAGATAAGCTCCTCAGAGGTGGCCACTAGCAGCTCAGAAGGGAGGCACTCCCACAGTCCTCATTTCATGGGGGCACCATGGAGAGTTACTATCATTCCTAGTTCAGCTTCCCCATCACATGTAGGAATTGCCAACAGCAAGACCTCAGAGTGAGGTTTATTTATTTATTTATTTAGTTAAAAATATATTTTTATGGATTTCAGAGAGGAATGAAGAGGGAGAGAGAGATAGAACCATCAGTGATGAGAGAGAATCATTGATCAGCTGCCTCCTGCATGCCTACACTGGGGATCAAGCCTGAAACACGGGCATGTGCCCTGATAGGAATTGAACTGTGACCTCCTGGTTCATAGACTGAAACTCAACTACTGAGCCACACTGGCTGGGCTAAGAATGAGTTTTATCAAGAGACCCCCACACCTCTCCTTCTAGGGAGAAGTGGCAGCCGCCGCCTTTTCAACACGGAGGAGCTGTTGGAGGGATGTTCTCCTGGCTGAGGAAACCATACTCCATCCACCCTACACCCAAAGGGTCTCTGGTGCTGGTCCACCTTCTCCTCTGTGCCTTGGTCTGTGTGAACCCCCCTGGCTGGTTGCCTTCTTCCCATTTCTGGAGCTTTCTTCTCCTTAGAGGTCTGCTCAGGTCCCACCTCGTCCATAAAACTTTCCCAGAAAAAAACAGTCAACAATAATGTCTTTCTTCATGGGCTTCCCATTGCATTTGCTACTTAAAATATACCTTTGGCACTTAGTGATATTCCCGTTAGCTCTTGCATTGTGTCCTGTCTTCCTTTGTTCTCTAATTACTTCCTGTGGGCAAGTCTTGTCTGACCAGCCAGGCTATAAATGCCAGCCCCGTCCAAGGCTCACATGTTGGGGAGGGAGGCTCCCAGTGGATTCTTGCCTATTTAAATCAGGGAGAAAAGGCATCGAATTTCTTTGGCTCTGCTTTCAATGTTACGTTACTTTTGATCAGGGGTCCTCAAACTACGGCCCACGGGCCACATGCAAATACAAATATTGTATTTGTTCCTGTTTTGTTTTTTTACTTCAAAATAAGATATGTGCAGTGTGCATAGGAATTTGTTCATAGTTTTTTTAAACTATAGTCTGGCCCTCCAACAGTCTGAGGGAGCCTGGTTTATGCGATGCGGGTCAGGATTGGGGATGTGCCAGCCTTCCTGAGTGGGCTGTGCCCTCAGCTGGGCAGGGTCTGAGGAGCCGGGACACAGGACATGTTCTCCTCTGGTTTCCTACGCCTCCCTTTTCGCCCCCTACACTGGGGAGAACCTGGCCAGCCTGCACCTCCGTCTGTTCTCAGGACCTCTGGCCTCTGCTTCTCTCTCCAGTGACGGCACTTGAATCCCCCATTTCCTTGTCTATAAATCTAAACACTTTAAAAATCAGCTCTAGCCTTAACCGGTTTGGCTCAGTGGATAGAGCATCGGCCCGTGGACTGAAGGGTCCCGAGTTTGATTCCGGTCAAGGGCACGTACCTCAGTTGCAGGTTCCCCAGCCCTGGTCAGGGTGTGTGCAGGAGGCACCAATCCATGTGTCTCTCTCACACTGATGTTTCTCTCTATCTGTCCCTCTCCCTTCCACTCTCTCTAAAAATCAATGGAAAAACTTCCTCGGCTGAGGATTAACAAAAAATAAAAATAAAATAAAGATACTTAAAAAAATCAGCTCTAATGCCATCTTTTCCAGAAAGTGTAGCCCAATCCCTCAGCTGAAAGTTCCCTTTCACTTCACTGAACCCCACTGGCATCCATTTACATCTCTTTGATGGGGCTGGTCCCCTTCTCTTTTTAGTTACAATATTTGTTCAGGAACTCCTTTTTTTGTATTAACTTTTCTATTGTTGCTGTAACAAATGACCACAAACTTAGTGGCTTAAAAAACACAAATTTACTATCTTACAGTTTTGCAGGTCAGAAGTCCAACATGGACCTCACCGGGCAAAAGTCAGGTGTCAGCAGGTCTGCATTCCTTCTGGGGACTCTAGGGGGGCTCCGTTTCCTTGCCCTTCCCAGCTCTAGAGGACACCCCCATTCCTTGGCTTGTGGCCTCCTATCTTCTTCAAAGCCAGCAGCATCGAATTTCGTTGGCTCTGCTTTCATTGTTACATTACTGTTGATGATTTGTAGGGTAGATTGGGCCCACCTGGATAACCCAGGGTCATCTCCTGTCTCAAAGTCCTTAACTTGAATCACATTTGCAACCTTAATTCCCTTTTGCCATTCAACGTAACATATCCACAGATTCCTGAGATTAGGAGGGGGCCTTTTTGGGGGAGGGCATTATTCTGTGCACCACTTCCCCTTTAGGTTGTTCCTTAAGATTGTTCAATATGTATTTTTAAAAATTCAGTTAAGTTTTAAGCACAGTTAAGCACTGTGCAAGCAGCTGGGGATCTAGAGAGGGGTGAGACATAATATCTTCCCTCAAGAAGTTTAAAACCTGGTAGGCAAGACAGACACAGAAACAATGAAAAGCAACTGACCAGGGTGGTAGTGGAAATGATTGTGGGGAGTGGGTGGAGGTAGTCCAGAGAAGGGGTAGGTGACATTCTCTGGAGTAAGTAGGGTGGGGGCTGGTCGGGAAAGACCTCACCAAGGAAGTGGCAATTGATTAGGTTCTGAAGAACAGGCCATGCTCACTAAGTGGATCTCCAGGAGGCAGCCTGGTGTTTGGAGGGATGTCATACATGGTTTGGGTTGCTGTAGCATTAGGTATGGGAGAGGAGCAAGTGGTGGGGAGAGGAGTCTGGAGAGGCTGGCAGGAGCTGGGTCACAGAGGCCTTTTATGCCAAGAAACTGGGATCGATAGTTGTGGGAGATGAGGAGGCCTTTGAGGGCTTTAAGGAAAATTATGCCAGAAAGTTTGGTGGAAAACCATAAGGGAGTAGTGACACACAAGCCGAGAGGAAAGAATGTCACAAAGGGGTGATGATGCATCAACAGTGTGAACATTCGAAGGAGGTCGGGTCATCAGAGGAATGCTCCCCATCATTGGGTTTGACAGCAAGGAGATTTCTGGTGTCCTCAGTGGGAGCAGTTTCCATGGGGAGGTGGGGCCAGAGGCAGCCTGCAGTGGACTGAGGGGTGATTGGGGGGTGAGAAGGGAAGGACACGTGGTAACAGCAACTTGGCCAACAAAATGAAGAGAGCTGTGGGTGGTAGCTAGAGACCACGAGGGTCTTGGGAAGATCCTGTGGGCCAGATCTATACCTTCTCTACCTCTGGAGGTCACCCCAGTACCTACCACAGTGTGAGACCCATGTAGATATTCCGTAATGTGTGAAGAACGGCCGAGCGCACCTCACGCGTTTCCTGGAAGAGGCTGTGGCACCATCTCGGATTTGCTCACCAGGGATGCCTTGCTGTCCAGCGGGGTTCTGGGAAGCAGCTGAAGTCATGAGCTCTGTTCCCAATCACGTGCTTTCCCGAAGCTCGGAAGGCAGACGGCCAGGGTGTCAACACCTCAGGTCACACCACATAACGCAGAGCCTAATTTGACTTTCAGGCTGATGTCAACATTTCGTTACCTTGCTGCGAAGCCCAACTTGAAGACTACATTAATTTACATTTGCCTGCGCTCCAATAATGCGTTCCAGATCAGCGCCAGCAATTGTGACACTGAGGTAGATGCTGGCATTTCCTGGATAGAAAAAACTCCTTCCTCATGTGCGGGAGACAATTTCAGGGCATTAGTTCCTTGGGGGAAGTTCCACCAGCTCACCAGGTAGGGTAATCCCATTTAAAACCAGGGAGCCACCACAGGTGAAAAGAGACTCGTCCTTCATACTATGAGGCGATGGCATTGTTATGGGCGCCCCAGTTTCAGGACCATTCTTCTCAAGGTTAAAATAATTCCCCCAAGCCCTAGCTGGTTTGGCTCAGTGGGTAAAGTGTCAGCCTGCGGACCAAAGGATCCCGGGTTCAATTCCGGTCAAGGGCACGTACCTTTGTTTCAGGCTCCTTCCCGGCCCAGGCCCTGGTTGGGGCTCCTGCAGGAGGCAACCAATCGATGTGTTTCTCTCACATCAATGTTTCTCTCTGTCTTTCCCTCCCTCTTCCACTCTCTCTAAAAATCAATGGAAAAATATCCTAGGGTGAGAATTACAAAGATAATAATAATAATTTCCCCCATAAGGTTGGATGCGCATCCCCAGCCCACATGTGGGGAAGCAGGACTCCAGCAGAGTCACAGGGAGAGTCCTCTGGGCTCTGTCTCTGGGGCACCAGCCCAGGTCCAGGTGCACAACGAGCCCTCCTGGAAGGTGTGCATGTTTCTAGTGCCGCAGCCCCCGACCTGGAGTTCGTGTGGAGGGGGTGACGGGAAGGATGCGGAATTCTCTGGACTCTGAGTGCGCTGTCTCCCGTGCTGCCTCTCCCCCAGCATCCCAGCCTTGGTTTTGACCTCTGTCCTCCCTCCCCATCCCCCTCTGACTGTCCTCAGGGCTTGGTCCCTTCTCGGCTTCTCTTCCTGCCCTCCAGCACCAGCAGATGCTCCCCATTCTAGTTTTATTATTTTATTTCCATCATTTTTTTGGGGGTGTGCGTGTGCGTGTCTGTCTCTGTCCCTAAGCCGTGAGCCTCTGTGTCTTATTTAACTCAGTGTCTTCAGTGTCCAGCTTGGGGCCTAGCAAGTTCATGGAACAGAAGAACAAATATATAAATATGCCACTGTTAGCCATCCTTCAAGGCTCACCCAGCTCACTCTCTATTGCCCAATTTCTTTCAGACCAATCATCTCTCAATTCTTACCCTTTATTCAACAAGCATTTATTGAGCACCTCTTATGGCATTTGGTGCTATGAATAAATTTGACTAGATTCCTGTCTTCAAGAAATGTTAGGAATAGCTGAAAATATAGGTAAGTTACTCAACAATTGAGATAGATGCTATTATAGTGAAACAGTTGCAGACTAATAAAGGCCATTTTTAATAACCTTAGAAGATTTATTTTAGTGAACGTTTTATCACTTTGGTGCTAGAATGAAATTTTAATGGAGCCAAGCATAAAACCCTGAATTTGCTCTTCTGTTGTATCACAGAGTAAACATTTTTCTAAATTAGAAAATAATGTGTTTATTATAGAAATTCAGGAAAATATAAAAGTAAAAAGGAGAAATAAAATTATTAACTCACATTCAGAGATAACTACTGTTAACTTTTGGTATATATCCTTTTAGCCTATTTATCATCTACCCATAACTGTCTTTTTTTTAATTTTAGAAAAACAAAACATAAAGCTGGAATCCTGAGAGTTTTTATTCCTTTTCCCCTTTTATTATAAACACTTTATTATGAAATATTATGGAAAATATGACTGTTAATGACTATGTAATATGACTGTACCATGATTAAAATTAAAAGTATTCTTATTGCATTGGATTAAGATGGTTTTCAATTTTTCTTTATGATAATTAGTAGAAAAATCTTTGTATAAAATTCTGTATTATTTACCTATTTTTTTCCTTTTCGGGGCATTCATCTTTTTCCTATTGATTTTTTAAAAGCCCCTTTACATATTAAGAGCATCCATCTTCTGACATATTTATTAAAAATATATTTCCTGGTCTGTCTTTTAATTTTGCTTAGTATAAGGTTTTTAAAGCCAGAAAGGATCTTTGAGGACTTTAAATCTAACTCCCTCATCTTAAAAACAAGGAAACTAAAGCCAAAATGTTCAGGTGACTCCCAGATGGCTTAGAGAGCCTGCAGCAGGGCAAGCCTAGAACCCAGGACCCTGGGCCCTCAGCTGGGAACCCTCAGCGTCTCCTCCAGCCATGCGCACATCAGTACTGATCGCGTGTCAAGTTCTTTGCTTTCCAACGGGGTCATTTGTGCTGGTGTTGCCTTCCCATGTGAAGGGCAGGGGTTGTCTCTCAAACCTGTCCTCCATCTTCCCATCCGTTCCTGACCCTCCTTTCCTGCCTCCTGCACATTACTTAGCACACGGCTAGGAATTTGATCAATACTTCTTGGTTGATACACTGGTTTTTAAAGAGTGTCCAGTAATGATGATGCAAAGTATCTCCTTCCATGCTTACAATCAATCCACAAGGAAGGCAAGGCCTAGAGCGGATAGTGAGGAGAGCAGACTGACAGGACTTACGCAAGATCTCAGCTAGACCATGGCAGCACCAGGACTGCAACAACGTTCTTTTGACTTCAAACTCTCAGTTCTTTCTGCCGCACTGAGTTCTCTTTCCCACAGGCCCTTGCTTCTGCCCCATAGCCCCCAACGGGGGCAAAAGCAGGCTGTTGTTTTTGACTCTGGGGAGGGTTGAAGAGGTGAAGCAGGAGGCCAGCTGGTCACTCCTTTTCGTACAGGGAGCCAGGACCATGGGGCGAGGTCTTGCTGACTGAAACCTCAGAAGCCCGTGAACTGGAGCCAATGTCATGGCTGCAGAGGGTCAAGCAGAACTCAACCTGGGTTTTAATTTTCTTTATTACTTTTATTGAGGTAAAATTTATATAACACACGATTTAATCTTTTTAAAGTGAACAATGCTGTAGCATTTAGTAATTCGCAATATTGAGCATTACTTCTATCTAGCCCCAAAACATTTCCATCACCCCACTCCTATCTAGCTCCAAAGCATTTCATCACCCCAAATAAAACCCGGACACACTGAACAGTCACGCCTCACTCTCCCCTTCCCCAGCCCTTGGCAACCACTAGTCGACCTTCTGTGTCTGTGGATTTACCTGTTCTGGAGATTTCATGTGCATGGACCCATTCATCATGTGACTTTTGAGCCCGGCTTCTTTCACTTCGCATCATGTTTTCAAGAACTGCCATGTATGGCAGGTGCCAGTACCTACCTCCTTTTTATGCCTGCGTGATATCCCGCTGTATGGATGTGCCACATTTGTCTATCTATTCACCTGTTGATGGACATTTAGTTTGTTCCCACTCAGCTTGGGTATTGAGGGTAAGGGCCCCTGAAAGCCAGGATCCCTCCAGTCCTAAAATCAACCCTCTCTAGAACCACCACCAGGACCCCTATTTGAAGATGCCTTTCTCTAGGGGAGAAAGACGCCTCCGGGAGCTCAGCTGAGGAGCAGAGGTGTGAACGCGGTGAAGGAGCTCCCTTTTGGGGGATTCTTAGGCTCCTGGCATGGGTGGGTGGCGCAGTGATGTGGTGGGGAGTGTGGACCCCCTCCTGGCCCAGGGCTGCTCTTCGGATCCCCACTGCAATCCTCTCTCCTCCACTTCGTTCACAACTTCAATTAGCCCATGAACTCGAGATGCTTCATCAGCTGGCTGGATCAGCAGCAAAATTAAGCCGTCACGTTTATGAACTGCCCTATGAGTTCTGGGAGGGACTCTGCATATTTTACATTTAATAACTTTAATGTTAATAATGATTTGGGGGTTGCTCTGGGCGAGCGCAGGGAAAGAGGGAGAGAGAGAGAGAGAGAGAGAGAGAGAGAGACTTTGACACAGAAAGAGGGGAGGACATGTGACAGGGATGACAGCTCTTACCCCTGTTATTACCGGCCCCTGCCCTGCCCTACCCCACAGAAAGGAGGGGCAGCCCCCATGCAGGTGGTTGGTTGCTCGGGCCTTGCGGACTGCTCTTTCTCTGGGGGCCCAATGACCAGGAGCTGGGCCGGAGTCCTGGCATGTTACTGTCTGCCTGCTCTGACGTGGTGTGGGCTCCAGGGCACTGGGTGGGCTTTAGGAAGGCCAGTCCACAAGTGGGGGCCTTCTTCCCCTCTTTCCTGCCCTCAGGCCTGTCCGAGGGGAAACAGGTGCCAGATTGGATGAAAGAAGCAGGGGTTTTGCCCCAGACATGTTTCAGAGGGTGCCTGTGTGATTAGAGCAGTGGTTCTCAACCTTCTGGCCCTTTAAATACAGTTCCTCATGTTGCGACCCAACCATAAAATAATTTTTGTTGCTACTTCATAACTGTAATGTTGCTACTGTTATGAATCATAATGTAAATATCTGATATGTAGGATGGTCTTAGGCAACCCCTGTGAAAGGGTTGTTCGATTGCCAAAGGGGTCGCGACCCACAGGTTGAGAACCGCTGGATTAGAGTGTCCCTCAGCATCTTTCAGGATGAGTGTTTTAGTGACTCCTCATTTTGGATATGAGGACATTAAGGTCTAGAGGGGCCAAGTGACCTTCCAGATGACCAGCTGGTGACCAGTAGCACTAGAGGGGCCAGGCGGGCCGGGGATTCCCTTTCAGGGTGGGGAGTGGGGAAGCCGGCCTCTTAGCTCACCCACCTGGGCTCAGTCTGCAGCTCTGCCTCTGACTAGCCCCGGTTCTCTGGGCCTCAGTTTGCTCTCCTGTAACACAGGAGTAACCCAAACGTCCATTGCACAAGATTGCTGGGCCATATGCTCAAGATCAAAGCAGTGAAAGCTCTTGTAAACTAGCGATCGCCATACGTGTCATTGTTGATTGTTTTCTACTGGGATGCGCCCTGTGCCACAGCGTCATTGCTGGGGACGCTCTAGGGAAGGGGTTTCAGAAAGGGCTTAGTTGGTGAGGATCTGAGGCTCGGGTGCCTCATGGTCGCTGTGGGCTCCCCTCTGCAGTGGCAGCTCCGAAGCAGCCATTGACAATACCTAACTGAATGGGCGTGGCTGTGTGATGAAACTGGGTTCACAAACACAGGCTGGGCCGGATTTGTCTTGCAGGCCACAGTTTGTTGACTCCTGCTCCAAAGCGGCATGTTCTGGGGCGAAAAGCACTGATTTTGAGAACGCAGGGCTGTCTGGAAGAAGAGTCCCCTGAGAAATAGCCACTGCTTCACAAGAACATTTTTTTTTTATCTGTAAATTTCCCCAACCAAGAATCTAGTGCTAAAGGCTCCATTTCCGCTGGCCTCCTGTGGGTGCCTGCAAAGGGAACTGCACAGGCCTGGTCTCTGAGCTCCGGGGGTTGGCTCAGCGTATGCCCAGGAAGCGGGAAAGACTCGTCGTCACCTCAGATGCTCCCATTTGGGACAATCGAGGCAGTGCCGCTGCACCAGGGTCTGTGGTTGGCTCTTCCCTGAATGTGTCCAGAGCTGGCTCTTTCCTGAATGTGTCCATCGCCATTGCCCTGGAGGAGAAGGGGGGCAAGGGGAGGAGGGAGAACCCAGAGAATGCTGGCGATGGGAGGCAGCGGAATGGGGCAGGACCGCAGCCACTTACTTTTACTGTTCACCTGCCATATGCCAGGCTTTGCGCTCCCTGTCGCCCAGACAGCAGATCCAGTCTTCTCTACCACCTGACAAGGCAGATAACGATTGCCATCTTACAGGTGGGGTAGCAGAGATCCAGACGGGTTAGGTACCGCCCAGGGGAGTGAGAGGCGGGTTCCCATGCAGCTGCTTCTACCGATTCCCTAGCTTGTCACCCTCCCACTACACCCACTGCCAGGAGGCTCTGGAAGCTCATTAGCATGTGTTCTCCTGCTCCCAGCACACCCTCTTTCTCGAGGCAAACCTGAGATGTGGGGTGGTAGAGTTGGGAAAGGATGGACTGAAAACAAGGGATCTGAGCCCGAGCTCTGCACTTAAATTGCCGCCTGACCTTGGGCAAGACAAAGGCGCTTGCTGGGCCTCAGTTTCCTCACCTGTGCACCGAGATTGTCTTGACGGCACCGTCCAGCTCTGCACTCTCAGAGCTTCTCTGCAAATAGCCTGTGGGGGCCAATCCGTTCTGCTTCTCCCCATCTGGCTGCTCAGCAGGAGGAAGGGAGGGAGGAGGCAGCAGCAGGAAAGCAAGGTCAATCAATTCCAGCCAAGACCAAAGCCTAAGAGATAGGGCGTGGCGTGCTGAAAGATGACGGCTGGCAAAAATCATTAGAAGCATCTTTCAACAATCTATATGCCGTTATCGATCTTGTTATAGATCATCTTCTTCCATTCCTCCCCCTACCTTCTTTTTTTTCCCTCTCTCTCCCCAAGATCTTCTGGATCAATACAGCAAGTGCATTGAGACTGTAGCAACACATTTAAAACCTTATAAAAGGTTATTTAGTTGCTAACAGTGCAGTGGTTTCTGCAAAGCCTGCCAAAAGGTTACAGCTTTTTGGGGATCATAAATTACAGACGACAGGAAAAAAGTAAGTGCGGTTTTCTTTATTGTCTCGATGATGGATGGACTCCTGAACAGGGCAGAAAATACATCATATCACCTTTAATGGGCGTGCATTTCTGCAGCCATAACTCACAATTTTAAAATAGAAAATGGTGAAATATGGCATTGTATATTCCACTTGTGACATATTTATGAGTCCTTGCCTTCTTATAAATACAGTGATTGCTATTTCAAAGCACCATGTCAGGTATGAGCTGAGCACAAACAGCTGGCGCGGCTGAAAAATTATAGCCAGAGTGGACGTTTTCAAAAACTCTCTCTCGCAGCAG